AGGTCTTGTGTGGAGAGTTGTCAGGATTTAGTTCAATTCCGGTTGTTTTTTGGCAGTGTAGACAATAGGTTTGAGCTATATTTGGGATTTTGGATTTTCTGGCAGAAAGTGCTTTGGAGGTGTTTAATGTCGGATAATTTGTTTGTGTGCCATTCTTTTTGTATTCAGGGATAGCGGTAGAGTGCCGTGTTGTCTGTGATATTTTTGTTTTGAGGGGACCTTATGGACTTATTGAGGATGTGTGCATGCATTATGCTTTTTCTGCGCATGTGAAAGGCTATGTCTTAGTTGCATTCAGCAGGTGAAAGCATCACTACAACCTCCTGCAATGAGGGCATTTGTAATGTAAACAGTTGAGCGTTTTTATGCGGTTGACATCATTATGATGTGTGCAGGACCAACAGAAAGTCCATGAAACTATGCTGGAAAGGGCCTTGAAGGAGACGACCCATTGTTCCTTCATGGTCATGTTCCGAACGCCCAGCTCCTCATCCAATGGTGAATGAACTGCTTTGACGTGACGCAAGGAGAACGATGAGCAACACTGGCGCCATTTGGAGGATACGAGAGATCACGAGAGGTTTCACCGGATCTCATGTGGAGCTAGGATGTCAAGCAATTTGCGCTGACTGGTCTTCAATTTGGTCTTAACATGTGCATGTATCATATAGTTTGTTGGTGGTGCTACTTCTCCTTGCTTGTGCCACGTTTGGCGGAAGGATCACAAGCTGAAACACACTGCTGCACTGGACAGTGGCTTGGAGGCGGCTTTGTCTTGAGAAGAGCGGTGATACTTGATCGGTTTGTGCCAACTTGGGTTGATCAGCGGACATTGTGCTGCGGTGTTGCCTTTCCCTTTTGTTCTCTGCGACGTTGCGCATATATTTTCTATGCTGGAGGGCCAGACATTCAGCAGGTGAAAAAATAATGCCGATTAAGGATGGCATTGTGGCAATTACCAGTGGCCGCGGCCCTCAAAAGTATTCACATACAAACACCATGGTCACCATGTTTTTTGTAGAGGGAAACAGGAAAAACCAGGTTTTTAGACAATTTTACAATGAGGCTTTGTTTGCAATGTGAGCAGGAGCAAAGGAAGCAGCACGAGGCTGCGCTGGAAAGGACCTTGAAGGAGACGACCTGTTCCGCCCAGCACAGCGGAGCAGTGTCTTGTTCCGCTCCGTGTCACTGGATGGCTTCGACCCCCCAGACCCCTGACCAGTTCGGACGCGGGGCCGGGTCGAACGGGTCGCGTGGACGGACCAAGGGCTTGCGCGGAGCGCGAGTAGCCGGGGAGTATGGGACGATGTGTTATGGAGGAAAAGCAGCGCTGCAACGACTGGGTGTGTTGTTTTTCCATGTGTTCTTTTTCAAGCACTTGGGTCTTCCCCAGGTCGGTCAACACCCAGTGTCGTCCCCCAGTTCCCCTCCGCATCGGACATCATCGAATTGTTAGATTCGGATCGTGTCCAGGCCCTTCGACGTCCAAAACTGGATCCAGCTCCCTATCCCAGACACTCCATGTATGCCATATATGCCTACATTGACCCCTCAAACCACCCCAATGTAGGCATATATGGCATACATGGAGTGTCTGGGTATAGGGATCCCATCGCACCGTCTACTGGTCGTACGGTCTACGTGGACGCTGAATGTCACGCTGCGGATGATACCCTAGGGATCCCGTCGTAGTGTACTGAACCACTACTGTAGGTTCCGTAGGTGCGTCTCAGCTGTGTCGAACGCATCCCCGTACCTCAGAGGGTGGCAGTGGATCCCTGTGGGGAGGGTGAGCTGATAGAGAAAAGGACATCGAAACGTAGCGATGGACTTCAATTGATAATTATGTGATGTTGGTGATAATAACTATATCAGTATATCAATTGTCGTGATAAAGAATCGGACACAACACCTGGCATGCGTTTGATCTGTGAACCATCACACCATATCACACCGCCAAACAACACACTGATGGCCGTCCAACAGCCAACACCTGGCCTCCTTGGAGGAGCATCAAGGTCACGCTGCGCAGGTGCTTTTTTTTTTCCGCGGTCGACGAAAAACCACGTCTCGAGGACCATCAAAGGGAGGGCTGGTTATTGAAAAAACCACAACATCTTGTAAATAATTGCATGCATGATTGCAATGGTAAATAATATATTGTATTCTTTGGTTTGCAGAGGTTTATATTTGTATCTCTTATAACCATAGATAAGACGGGTTAGGCGGGGAATCGGCTTGTCTTCGGAGCAGAGGGGCTCGGACCCAAGCACCGGCGAAAGCACAGGAACTGGAGCATAGGATCCATAGGGTTCGGATTCTGCTGATTTCTATGGATCGTTGGCTCAGGCAGTGTTCATTTGGGCATAAGATCGCCCAGATAGAGGTGAACAGAGTATGTAGTCACAATGTCCTTTTCTTCACAATCTTGGCAATTCCTTTTGGAATCTCGGGCAATTCAAAAATATCAGGAACGATTCTGTGCTTCATTCCGTTCCCGTTCTGAAACGAACGGCTAATGTGGCACCCCTGCAGCTGATTCAAGCAACGATTAGATTTGAACCAGGTAAAGGTCTTCTCAGCCTCGCCTATAGGTTTCTTTATGCCAAGGTGTTTTTCCTCTGGCTAATTGACTTGGCTCAAGTTCCACTGTCGTCGGCGTGACCGGCATTTGGTTCAAAGCTTTCCGTTCCAAATGTATCGACATTGTAAGTGCCCTTCCCGGCCCGAGCACTGCATGAACGAGTGCCCGAACTGGGCAACGATGTTGTAAGAAGAGTAGATATAACATGGTGTTGCTGATCCGGTGTCAACTCATGTTATCACATGCCCTTTGAGAAAGTCCCAGAACAAGGATGCATTGGTTGCATAGAACACTTAGGGTCCCTTTCCAAGATGAAGTTCTCGCACGTGAATTCGCACAAAAGACCATGCTCGCTCTTAGGTTGCAGGCCATCGCTAGTAGGTTGGAGGCCATCGCTATTAGAAACAAAGAAAAAGAAAGGAACAAGTCATGCTTGCTCTTGGGCCATGTCGCGTGTGCCACACAAGTCGACCGGTCCACCCGTCAAACGCAGTCGCTCGCCGGGTGAGTGTGCTACGCTCCCCGGACGTGGCGTACGCACGGACGCCCTGGAGCACTTCGATGGTGATGCTGACGTGGGCGTTGATGGTTTGCTGGACCGCATTTGGGACGAACAGAACTGCATGTGTGTCGCAGTTCGGGTCCAGGTACCTCCTTTTCGGAGGGTCGAACGGAGGTGAGTACGTACTTCCAGAGAATGGTCTTGGGGGGTCAAAGGACATCCTCAGGATGGTCCGGGACCCTTAGGGTGTGTCATAGAATGGAATAGGGAGAACCCAGACAACGGCCCCCCTGGAAGAAAGACCAAAACGGGTTGGGGTTGTCCGAGGTCTCTCTGATGGTTCATACAAATGGTGCACCCTGATGTTTTGAGGTTCGGCGGGAAAATCTTGCTCTCAGGATTGGACAATAAGACCCTGTGGTTCCTTTAGCCTGTTAAGGGCAAGGGGGGCCGACCATGACCATCCCCAATAGGTTCTTATAACCGTAGACTTTGTCCATTACTCATATCGCCTAACCAAGTTTAGAACCAGATAGTCTAGTTGAGTCTACTTAACTTAGTAGAAACATTAGATGCTGTCTCGCAGAAAACTCCATAGGGTACACAGATCAAGCCCTCCAAAATGCCACACACGGTGACCCGTTGGGAAGCCCCTGGACGGCATGATCATCCCATGATCTCTTGACCCGAAAGTACGGGCCCATGTAGTAGTATACGGCCTCTTTTCGGCATGATCTTTGGGACAGATTCCCCCCAACTGGGGGTCCAAAGACTGAGAAAGTAGGACTGGAGCTTGGCACTCCATTTCCTTGGAACATGGTCGAACCCCCGCCGTCGTGATGCCGTCCCCTTCCGACCTCTTTGGACACCACGTTCCGTACCGCGCCGCTTGAGGCGCTGAGACCCTGGCGTCGCGTTGGCGCTCTACGCGGCGTGCACATGGGCCACGTCGTGTCCCAAATCGCTCCCTGCTTCGCGCTGTCCGGTGCTGGGCTGAGCCGGAAAAGAACAGAAGTCCCCCATCCACGGGAGTACACCCGGGGGAGTGCTTCTTCGTTGGGCCGGTCTTTGGCCCGTTGTTGGGGACCGGGGATGCAAGCTGCGAGCTGGGTGGAGCCAGCTGGGTGGAGCCCTGGAAGTGATGAGATCAATCAGAACACCAACTCGTTTGACGTCCTTTTTGGTGTTGTTTCACCGTTTCAAGTCATCCATCAGTCCTCCCATCCATCAGTCGTGGATCATGTATCATCAAATCCAACCGTCCAGACTCTCCAAGCATTCCTGATGGACATCCTGGAAGATTGGTTTCGGATTCAACCAATCGACGGGTTCAAGCGGGACGACTTGGAATGAGGAACATGGTTGAAAAGACCGAAAGACCCCGACATGTTCCGATCATGTGGCACCTATAGAGTCTCGCAGTACGTCGGAAACTGGGCACAAGATGGTACAAGTACTATAGTGACCAAAACCTTTGGGACTAGTATGTATCCCTAGGGTGGTTAGACCCCCCAAGTCTACCCCAACCATCTTCTCAGGAGGCGGTTGGAGCCCTAGGGTATGACACATTCACACCCCCTGACATCGTCCAGGATCATTTGCCTACGCTGTTCTGGGATTGCCTGTGGGCTAGGGAACACCTCCATGGGCCAGAGCCGGTTGCTGACCGGTAGAAACATCGGATCTTGGGCAGTTTCCTCAGACCCAAAACACCCACCAACCGGAGAAACATGTAGAAAACAGCTTTCGGAACCATCGGTGTCTGTGTTTTTCTTTTCTCAGGTGCTTTGCAGAGCTCCAGCGTGCTATTTCTGCTGCTACTTTTGGGGCGATCAGTAGAGCAGCGTTTGGGAGGGCCCTTCTTTTTGACCACCTATCTTTTGGGACGCTGGGCACATGTGGGATCGGCTAGACCCGGAAGTGTACAATATAAGTATTCTTGAGGCTCTTGTTTTCAACTGCTTCCGGAACCGGCCGAACCAGGGTGTCCAACCCGGATGTACCACGCGTGGCGCGGCGGCTCGGCGGCTCGTGGCTTGATGCCCATCAAGCTGCAGAAAAATAAGCGAACAACACAACTTAAGAAAAACAACACATCATCTATACCCAAGCACTCCCATCTATGGAATAGAATCATGCAGCCCTAGAAAGACCCCGTATTTTTTGTCAAATTGGAGTGCTTGGTGCTAGCTATGGGCTTTGTTGATTGGTCTGGAAATGGAGAAGGGTACCTACATCTGCAGCAAATGGACATGTGCAAATACATCAATCTTGGCTATGCCCCCGTGTTCTGACCAATTCTCACGTTTTGGCAGGTTTTGGTGTTTGGAGAGAACGTGGCACCATCGTCACACATGCAGTTGGGATGCTCTCCAAAGGTACCTGGTCTTTCCATTTTGGCAGAGGATGCTGCTTTCTCCAAAGGTACTGGACATTCGATTTCGATTTGCACAGCCTTCGGTTTAGCCGTTGCAACAGACCTCCGCAAGTGCTTTCCGGGATGGATGACCTTCATGACCTTCACCCCAACAAGGGAGGCGACTTCGTGCAACGGTCAAGGGGAGACTCCCCTCCCTCCGGTGCCGGGCAGTTTTCCCACTCCCGAAACTCGGTGGTCCGGATGCATGCCCCGGAATGGTCTACCCCCCTAAAGAGAGGAAGACACTCTTCCAGGGGCCAATCGTCAGGGGTCCATGTGAGTTTTCGGGAGGGGAAGTGAGACTGGACCGAGGATGACCGAGGTGACTTGGTGACCCGCTGTGGCCCCCACCTGATCACCCGAGCTGCGAAGCCAAGCCACCCGAGCTCGGCATGGGGATGTGATCGACACGCCTTGCAAGTATCAAGGGTCGAGTCCACATACTCATAGCAAACCTGAGAAGTTGAGAAGGGTGGCAGTGGAATGTCTAGTTGCAGGTGAAGATATCCCCCAATAGATGCTATACAGCTATACGATGCTATACGTCTTGTTGCCTTCAGGACTCTTGCTGGCATCGATTGCGACCTTAAACCTTTGCCCATGCAACGCCTTTGTGGTGGCAACCGGTGCCCTCCTCAGCCTTTTCGTGGTCACGGCGCGGATCCTAGAGATCACCGCCGTGAAGCACGCGGAGCCCTTGCCAGGAGCGGGGTCAAGGGGTCAAAAAAAACCGGTGCGTGGTCTGGCCACCCCATGGACCTCCTGATACCAGCAAGCACCCCAGCATACCTGGAGTTGACCCGAAAATGGGTACTCTCTGACTCACTAACATGGAAGTGGAAAATGGCCTCTTGGAAGACTACTTTCCTCTACAAACAGTGGGTTTTTCCATTTCCATGTTAGTGAGTCGGAGTGTAAAGGTACTTGAAGTCAGGTCCAGGTTGCCTTCCCCACCCTCCGACCCACCGGACCCTCGGTGGTCATGGCCACGCTGAATCACCTGGACCTTTCGGGGATATTGATAGACATCTCGATAGCCTGACAGAGGATCCTATAGTTCATTACCACTACCCATTCCGCCTCCAGTCGTACCGAACCTGAGGTTTGGTGGGACTGGGGTGGGTGCCAGGAGGGTCCGGTCATACCTTCGGAGGAGGTACTTGGAGGTGTAGGGTACATAAAATCACTTTTAGGTCTGTGGCTTTAGTCTTTGGAATGTTATGTAAGCTGGATTCACTGACAAAATGAGGTGAAGTGGCAAAAACGCTGTCGGACGCCTTTCTTTTGGGCTTGGAGTATCCAAGCGTTACATGTCAACATGATTTTACCCAAGATCTATCCCAAAAAGGTCAGAGATGATCCCAAAAAGATCAGAGATGAAGAACTGGCTGAACTATGCTGAACGCAGGTGGTCAATCTCTACATCCCTTGTACGAACGCATTGGGCCATGATCTTCAGGATGCAGCAGCATCACCTTCTGGACCAATCGTTGGAGGCTGCTTCTATCGCTGGGCATTTTCCAGCGG